CGCCTCTTTTAAATTAGCAAGATTCAACTTCAGGAGATGTGGAAGGATTTGAGCAGGGGTCATATTTACTGGGGTAAACTGTCGTGGTGGCCTTTGCTGATAAGTTTTGGGCTGATCATTCCTCGGTTGGCTGTTTCTAAGTTAGTCTGATGCGGACTTTTGTATTAATACGGCCCCTACTGTTGGCCGATGTTCCTCTCTTTCCCAATTTTTCTGAGTGTATACAACAAATGCTTCTTTCTTGGCTGGGAAAGGTTTTCTAGCAGCTGTGGATGCGGAAGCATCCTTTTGAATTTTTCCACTTTTGATACCGGCTTCCACCCTCTTGCCGGTCAAAATCAACTCAGTAAATCCCGCAGAAGAGCTTCCGATTAGATGGTTGAAGAAAGGCCCATATAGGTCCCCAAAAACATATCAACTAATTCCCTATCTGATAGCGGTGGCTGCACCCTTCCAGCCAGGTCGCGCCACTTCTGGGCGTACTCCTTAAACCCTTCATTTGAAGCCATCCCCATGCTCTGTAGCTGAGTACGGGTAGGCGCCAAATCAACATGTACTGATACTGACGATAGAAAGCGGCCGCCAAGTCTTCCCAATTATGGACCTCTGATCTCTCGAGCTGATAAAACCAATCTAACTGAGTGCCAAACAAGCTGTCTTAGAAAAAGTGCACCCAGAGGTCTTTGTCGGATGAATGTGGCTGGATCTTTCTAACATACGACCTTAAGTGCATCTTAGGGAAAGACAGACCGTCGTACTTGGCGAATGACGGCACCTTGAACTTGGGAGGGATTACAATCCCGGCTACCAACCCCAGTTCCTCAAAATCCAATCCGGGCACCCTCTGCAACTCCATAGTTGCCAATCTGTCTTCAAGGTTCTTATACTTGTCATCCGCTGATGGATACTGTTGTTCTGAATAGTCTTCGTCTGCTTCCTCTTCCTCCTCTTCTACCTCAGATTCGGAAGGTACAGTAACTCCTTTCCCCTTTCCAATCCCTTTGTCAGACGTTGAAGGAAATTCAAGAGTCCTTCTAGCATCTCCCTCAAATCTTCTTCCGAAAGTAGCTACCCACGGTCTCTTTTTCTTTTTCTTCTCTTTATTATTTTCTAGCAGAACTTTGAGATCCTCTTGACCCTTTGCCAAGGTCATGAGGAGTTGCTGAAATTGTGAATTTTGTGCCTGTAGGTCCTTCACTGTTTGCTCCAAATCCATCTTGCTGAAATAAACAGCAGAAAGATAAGGAAACCTGGCTTGAAGACCTGCTTATGTATATGATGAATGATATGTTATTCATGTAATGCATTCAAGGGTTCAAAAATTCAAATTTGTTGCAAACAAAAAGAACGCACGTCATATTAAGAAGAAATTTGTTAGTACATAAATGCCCCATGGGCGAAATATTACAAAATTCTTAATGTAAAAAGACGTTGCGCATCCTCTTTGGTGCGATGTAGGTGTTGAGAGTTTCCTCCTCATGAAGTCGGCGGGTGAGCTCTAAAACCTTCTTCTCACTGGCATAGAAGCTGGCTTCAAAAGTATCCCTTTCTTCTTTGAGTTGGATCCAACTCTTTTGCATTTCCTCCCATTATGTTGGCATGTCAGGATGTAGGATGGTGTATGGAACCTCTCCTTCCTTAACAGGCTCTTTAATCAAGGGGAGAATGTAAGGATATGGCATCATAAGATTCTGAGAGCGGGTTCGTACCGACTTGAGGTAAGGCTCAAGGGGGATGGAATTCTTGTACCCTAGTGTCTTACTGTCCACCTTATTAAGCATCCTCCAAGCTCTGATGAACCTTTGTCGAAGTCAAAAACTAGGCCAGGAATTAGCATGTCACTACAAGAAAAATGATAGATTGGGACGGTTATTTTGGCTGATTACGACGGTTAAAACCGTCGCAATTTACAATCTACGACGGTAGAAGTACCGTCGCAGAATCGTGCGTCCCCAGCCTATTTCGCGACGGTTGCAAAAACTGTCACGCACAACAGATAGCGACGGTTATATACCATCGTGAATTTGACTTTATTTTTTGTTTTTGTTGTTGTTTGCGACGGTTATTCTACCACCGTAGGTTAGAAATTGCGGCGGTTTTAACCGTCGTAATCTGATTTATAAATTTCAAATAATATTTTTATTTAAATTATTATTTAGTAAAATAATTTTAAATATAATATTATTTTACTATAATATTTTACTATTATATTTAAATTATTATTTACTTTAATATTTTTTTATTTATAGTATTTTTATTTTATTTTCTATCACTTTTCAACATAATAAAGTTAATTACAATAAAAACATTAATATCAAATAATCATCAATAATATCAAAAAAATGTGATCAAAGGTAAAAAGAAGTGCAAATTTTACCAATAAACAAGAAAAATTCAAATATCATCAAACTCCAATTGTATGAAAAGTTATAAGGTACAGAAAAATCAACTACAACAAAATCTCCAATAAAATAAAATTCACTTTCCGCTAAGGAGAAACCTAATCAAATTTGGATATGTATCAAGGCGTCTCAAGTTCTTTAGATATGTATGATACATAAATTGAGGACATTCTTCATATAGAAGCACGTCGACACACTTTTTCAATTCCTGATAAATATAGACGATAGAAATGTCTTCATTAGTGCTTGTAAATTCCTGGATTTTAGGAATCAGATTTAAACCTAGACCTTTCTCGACTAAGCTCATTGTGAGAGCTTCAAAAACTTGGTTGATGTCTACTTGCACCATCAGTCTTCTCTATGCCCTTGTGCGAGCTAAATCAATGCCTTCCATTACTCACCAAAGCTCAGCTACAACACTACTACATTTTCCATCACAGTAATCACACAAATTATCTGGAAGATTCAAGTGGTTTAGATATTGGTTGGTTTTGATTCCATTATGATATATCATCCACACAAAAACCCTTATTCTTTTAGTAACACTCAGATTCCAAATGCCTTTCCAATGATCCTCTATATCCTTGTTCTTGGTGGAGGTATTACAAGCATTATATCCAAAAACTTCCGACTGAACATGTTCCTTAAATGGCTTCAATTCCAATTTCCATCATCGTTAATTAAGTCTGCAATTGTTGTATTCACATTATCTCCAATAGGCTAATTGATGCTATTCATAACATAAACATATAAAAAATTTATTAAACATCAATTAAGTAATTTAATGTATTATAAAAATATAACTAATAATTATAATCACTGATAAATTGTAATTAACAAATTAATACTATATATAAAGAAGATTTTGACTAATAAGCTAGTTGATATATATAGAATTTGATTATAGAAAAAATGTAATTATTTTATTTAAATTAATAAAATCAAAATGAAAATGATAGTATGTTTAATCTCATGAAAAAATTTAATTATTTTATTTAAATTAATAAAATGAAAATGAAAATGCTAGTTGAATCTCATGTGCAATAGCAGATCTACCATATTTGGACTGATAGTATGTTTAACAAAATCAAAATGATATTAAGAATACATCATAGTTATTACAAACATGATATACTATCTATCTAAATAAATATGTGTAGATAAGAGGTATACTATACATTATTATTATTATTGTAAAAGAATACATTATAGTTATTACAAACATGATATCCATGTTCACTACCAAAATTGGATGATGAGTTTCAACACACAAAACCAACTAAATCAGAAAATACCTCTGGTGTAATACTCCAAAATTGCTTCGACAGATTGAAGAACTCACTGTGAGATGAATTAGCAGCAAGTATATCTCCAATAAAAACCTGGTTTCAATAAGTCATAAACAAAGTCAGAGAGATTTTAAACAGAATTTCTAAGCTTTGATTAAGTTCTAAACAAAATTTCAAATGTTTCAAAAGTTTATGATTTGTCTCTACTATAACTGTCAAATATTAGCAATCTAAAAAATTTAGATTTGACAAATAAACCGAAAGCTTTAAGCTTATCAGGATGAAGACTAATTCATCATTTCCAAGAGATGCAGTCAATTCATTTCTCTTCATCACATCTTTCATGAAAATTTGAAGCTACAAATACAATTATGATGAATGACCCATCAGATATTACTATTAGCAATCTTTTTCACATATATGTATCAAATATTAACTAAAAACAAATATATTCTCATGCACAGACCTGATGGTGATACTTTTTGGTCATTGAATATCATCTCTTTATGTGATTCATAGCTCTTGAGATGAATGACCCTGCTGAATGTTCACGAAATTGGGATGATTCACAAATCTTATAAAATGGAAGTTACAAAGTAAAGTGCAGTAGTATTTAAATAGAACTCCCATAGTGCAGAGGCATTCCTAAATCACATGACAATACAAACTCAATATAATCTTTAACCTTGAGATATCAGAACCTCCATGTAAACAAGTAATATATAATCAACAACATAAACATAGATACACATAAACTGATGTTGTATGATATAGAACAAAGCAATCCTCATCTACAATATCAAGAGCAGACTGACCGCTAATCAACAACATAAACATAGATACACATAAACTGATGTTGTATGAAAAGCACCTTATTGGCAGCATCAACTATATCAGCTTTACAGTACCCATTTAAAAGTGCTTCATACGCAAAAACATCAGCCTGGCCGTGCTTTTCCAAAATCTCCATGACCCGAATAGCTTTCTGGGTTTTCCACCTTAATAATATTGAAGGTTAAATAAAAGAGATATTTAAGTAAAATGTACATTAATATTTGCACCAAGTAAACAATAAAACAATAAACAAATATTTTAGATTATGACTGTTGTTTAATATCTTCATACATTAGCACAAGTCTCATAACATATAATCAATAGCATGTGAGATAAAACACTATTATCCTATCAACAAATATGAAGGGGAAAAAGCACAAAATAGAATTCAATGATAGCACTCTATACAGAAACAAGATATGACATATCAACCTATGGAGTATGGAAGGAGAAGAAAGGATGGTCCTGAAATTGATCATGAGTGTGAAATGAGGTTACTATCTTCTACTACACCCGGAGGAGACTCCGGTGGTACGGCCGATTCTTGAAATACAGAAGATTCAAGATCCAGAATCCTCCTTGCAGTTGCTTGAGATTCTTTGATTCTTCCAACTTTTCTGGATGAGTGGAATATAGAGGCAACAGCTCTTGTTGAATTGCTACTATCAATTGAATGCAAAAACTTGTCTTTGGAAAGTGTTGGCGCCGATGCAATGATGGAGCTGAATACTCCGGATTCCCTCAAACTTTGTATTATGACCTGGAGACAAGATCATCAAGAAATGTATAATATGTAGAAATAGATATAGCAACACCTCTATCTCTAGCACACTGTTGTCAATAGCGGATCACAGATTAGCAGTTTGTTCAAATTCCACAATACCGCACTGCTATAGCGCAAGCGCTGTTATGTCTGCTATTTGACAATATTTTGCATTAGATAATCGCAGAACAATAGCGATTTGTTTAAATACAGCTATGTTATAGCTCTATAACGCTCCTATAACCAATCCTACTTAAGATCTCGTGCTTGACTACATTGATTGGAACAACTTTAACTAACTTATCACTGACCGTGGGAGCGTATATGCGGGTCAATATTCCTTTCCTCAACAGTTTTATCTTCAACTCTTTATCACCCCACACAACATGCTCATTATACCTGGAACAAGAAAAAAGATCAAATGTTTCTCGAAGATCGATAAAATAATGGTTAAATTATGTAGGAGAGTATAAATGAATATAAATTGAAGGTAGCATACCACTTCAACATTTCTTCTTCAGTTGCTGTTGAAGCAATGATGAATGCCTGAAATTGATAATAAGGTCTACTTAGCATAAATGAAAGCAATGATAAATACCTAGAATCGAAAAACTGAAAAACTGAAACTTACAGATCTGTCAAATTCCAACATGAAGCATCTTTTGACATCTTCTTTGGTAGGTTTGCAACCACAACGATCACGTCTAGAAGTTAAATCAGAGAATTTGGCGTATGTGTAATGTAAAACAGCAGCTTCTTCCAATTTGATTTCACTGTCATATTTCAGAAGAATCGTCATGATACTAATTAAAAAGATCATGCACACAAAAATGTTGTATATATTGATGATGTATTATACTTTGGGGTTTTCATATAATTGTGCCATCTGTGTGCACCGTTAGGCCGAAGGTGATCTTGTACCCGTGCAACTGATTTTCCATTTCCGTAAGTCAGGAAATAGTTCGGATTTCCGCGCACAGAATCTTTGTATGTGCCAAAATATGTGTCCTTTGGAAGATGGTCGTAATTCTTCTTAAACATCGTTACCTGTTTTGACACATCAAAAGAGAAAGAGGAGAGTAGAATTGTAAATAACAAAACATGCAAACTTCATGTCAGAAATGCAGAAAAATTCTGCAGACATCCTACAAATTCAGCCATCAAACAACGCAAATGCCCTTTTCATATTTCCCAACCTACAATTCCAACTTATCATGGACGAATAAACATAAACATCAATTTCTATTTTTCTTTCACGCATTTCCTCGAATATCTTCTCCACTTCCCCAATATCACCAGAACTAGAATACCACTGAATCAAAATACTATAAGTCGCCACACTAAAAACAACCGGCTCCTTCTCCATCAACCTCAGTATCTCACCAACTCCACTTCGATCCTTTCTTCCAACATACGCATTCAACAACGTATTGTAAGTAAACACAGTCGGTTTCACAATGCTTTTAGTGACCATCTCATCCATCAACTCCTTAGCTTTCTCAACCTCTCCTCTCTTACACAAGCCATCAATCACAAGTGTCAAAGACTGAACCCTAATTTCAATTCCATTAGACTCAACCATCCGGCGGAAGAATCTAAGACACAACTCAATCTCACCACATCTCTTCAAAGCAAGCAAAAGCACAAAACAAGACCTCTCCTCTATCACGAACCCCTTTTCCTCCACATAATCAAAAACCCTAACCGCCTCTGGAAACAACCTATTATCAGAACAAACCCTAAACAACATATCACAAAGCTTGTCAACAAAATGAAACTCAAATTCATCAAGCAAATCAACGATCCCCGAAACTGGGGAGCGAAATTGGGAATCAGTAACAACGGAATTCAGAATAGTCTTGATGGTGGCGAATTTGCGAGCTTTAAAGAGTCTAGAAAAGAGAATCAAATGGGCCTTGAGGTCAGGTTTGAGTGAATGGTTGGAATGATGGGTTTTGAGGAAGTGGAAAAAGGATAAACAGGAATGCGGTTGGAGAATAGGGTCTGAAAGAACACGGTAAGTAACATGGGGGGTGAAGGTGATGCAGGAAATGATGGAGTGAAGTTCGGTGTTATTGGGTTTGAAATAGTTGGGTTTAAATTGCAGTAAAGCGTAATAGACGAAGCGGGGTAAAGGATTTAGGGGGACGACGGGTGTGGTTACCGTCGTGCCCTTTCATAACTTTTGCATGTTTTTTAAAGGTTTAGGGGGGCGACGGTTGTTTTACCGTCGTGATGTCTATTTTAGGACGGTTTCTTAACCGTCACAACATTCATTTTAGGGCGGTAGGTGTATACCGTCGTGACATGGGTCTCTATATTAGAATTACGACGGTTATTAAGTAACTGTCGCAATTTTTGTGTCGTAAAATCCTAATTTTCTTGTAGTGTGTCATGAGGGCCGTCCCTCCGGGCATATCCAAATTGTCTCAAAGCTAGACAGGGGTTGTAGGTAATGCCTCCCCTAATACCAAGTAATGGGACATTAGGGAATTTACCACAACGATCAATGATGATGATATTTTCTCTGGACCGAGAACACAAATGTACATCCGAATGTGTGAGGGTCATCAATTGTTGTGACCACCTTAAACCCTGCTCATTCTTCAAGACTGATTATGGAAGGTGAGAAATAAACCACCTTGCTAGGAGAGGAGTACAACACATGAGAACACCTATTTTCCTCATTGTTCGTGTGTAAAATTAGTGTAGGATGTCCCCAAGCAATGTAGGTATGGGATTCTTAGACATGAAAATCTTGACAGCATTCACATCTATAAGTTGGTCAGGGTTTGGGAACAAGACCAACCCATAAATAAGGAGTGCCACAATCTCTTCAAAGGCTTGTAGATCAAGGGAATTCCAACACTCTTTTGCCTTCTCAAACAAGAACTTTTCCAAGAAGCCCTTGACACCACTTCTTGTTTCCCAATTCCCCTTGATGTCAGATGGTTGCAAGTGTAATGCTTGAGCAACATCTTCAGGTTTTGGTTCTTTTTCCGTACCGTTGTAGGGTAGTTGATTAAGAATAGGAATTCTCAAAAGTTGAGAAAATTCCTCCAAAGTAGGCACCAATTGGTAATCAGGGAATGTGAAACAGTGGTGTAGGGGGTCAAAGAACTGGAAAAGCACTTTCACCATGTCTTCTTCAATGCTGGTGTTGACTAAGTTGAGGAGTCTACCATGTCTTTCACTAAAGAGAGAACTCTCTGGAATTCTGGATGTAAGCTCTTTGAGTTGAGGAGGGATCCTCACAAGGTTGACTTGAATTGTTTTCCTGCGAAGAGATTCCATGACCTACAAAACAAGAACAAAGATGAAGATCCAAACCCTTGAAATGGTTAGTGGATGCACATGATGCTTTATGATGTTCATGATGTATGCACAAACACATGTACAAGCAAGTCACACAAAACCCTAGTTTCAGGCTTGCATGAGGTTTCATAGGTAAGTACCCTCTTGAGTTTAGTTGGCTCAAAACCTGTCCTATAAATAGTAACCGGGTTCTAAGGAGCTCAATATCATTGGATTGTTTTCTATGTTCATTGTTTTGGTTTAGCCACTTAACTAGCGACCAAAATATTCCAAGAAAACAACCCTCAATGAGTGTAGTATCGAGTATCTACCAACTTCGGACTGCACCAAAGCTGGTCATCTCACTACCCCTAATAAAAGGCCAAGATGGTCAAGTAAGGTTCTAGTTCATTAGTGCTTAATGACATCACTCAGCGGCCCCGTATTCTCTTTGATTGACTCAAAGGCTACTGGTACTCACAAATATGTTGCACTAATATAGCTATTGCTTCAACCGTGTCGGTATACCCCGCACAGTTTCCACAACGTATTGCTATATATGAATGTTTCCCAAATCTGGGTGGAGGATTTCAAGCCCAAACAATAGAACCAAAACGTAAAGCAATCAAAGCAAACAATAATCATACAAAGGGTGATCTAAGCCCTAAGGTTACTCCACTTTTATAAATTGTCCCCAGCAGAGTCGCCAGTTCTGTGATACGGTGGGAGAACTGACTTGGGATTTGCGTTTGTATTCGCAAATGTTTCGGTTTAGCGAGAGTCGCCACCGACTTTTTATTTTATCCTAAGGAAAGGTCAAAAAGCACAGGAAAGACCTTTGAGATGTTTTCTTGGGTTCGGGGAGTAGATTATAGAATGGGAAGGTATTAATACCCTTTCTATCCATGGTTATCCATGGGCTCTTAGTTACTTGCTTAGATCACTTGCTTTGCATTTTCAATTGTTTGAAATGGTGCTTTGTGTGTGGTTTTAAAAGATGTTTTGAAAAGAGGCCATTGTTGTGGCAACCTTTGTAATGATTCTTGTTTGAATGTATATAAAGGTGTTCTTGTCTTTTGAAAAGTTTTCAATGTTTGAAAGTAAGGTTTTGAAATTGTGTTTGTGGAGTGTGTTTTGAAAAATAACAAGGATGTTTTTGCAAGCTTGATCAAGTAACTAAGAGTTATCTACCCTATTTTACTCAAAGATATTCCTTATGTTTTTAACCCTTTTAACAGTGTTGTTTCACCATTGTATTTGATGAACAACCTTGTGTTAGGATGTTTTACGAGACAGGCGCGGGTCATCGTATAGACCATGATCGCAATAGTGTCAAGTATCTTTGGCAATTTTCTTGAGGGACTTGATCATTTTTGTTTAGGCAACTCAGATAGCGTCATCGAGGGACTATGATCTTTTGTTTGTTTTTGTTTTGCCAAAGTACTCAACATGCAACCATGGCCCATTTTTGAAGGCAACAAGTGGATTGAAACCCTAGGGGTGCAAGTGTGCATTGTGATTGTTTTTTCATGCATGTTTATCTTGGATTAGGTCAAGCTAGTAGTTGATTTTATTTTTGCATACAAACCCTAGGTCTAGGCATGGCATAATTGAAAGCTTTTAAATGTGCGAGAATTTAAATGCTACACTATTACAACATGATATAGGTAGGGGGATACAAATTTGAATTGGGGATATTTGACAAGGAAATAAATTCTAAGTTATTACAACCATATCGAATGTACAAGTCAATATTTAACATTTAAATAAACACAATTAAATAAATATCAAATAAAAATGTATTATGCAAAAAGATTGTTTATGTATCTGAAAATGGTATTTTTTAATGTGAAATATAAACAAAATAAAAAAAGTCAAATTTTAATTATTTTGGTCATTTAGGGCAAAACCCTAATTTTCAAATAAATAGCCATATTTATTAATTATATACAATAATTATATTAATTTATGCAAAAATAAAAGTATATTGTTAAAAAAAAGTATTTTTAGTGTCAAATATTAATAAAAATAAAAATGTATTATTTCTATATATTTGTCCTAATTATCTAATAAAATAAAATATACAAGTATATATATATATATATATATATATATATATATATATATATATATATATATATATATATATATATATATATATATATATATATATATATATATATATATATATATATATATATATATATATATATATATATATATATATATATATATATATATATATATATATATATATATATATATATATCATTTTAAATATACAAAGATAAAAGAATTAATTATTTACAAAAAATGTATATTCAAGAACATATTTTCAAATGTAAATAAAAATGATAAAGTGAAAAAAAGTATATTTTTTATATTATTTTTTAGGGTTTTAATAAAAAGGATTTAGATTATTTACATATGTATACTTAATAAAATAAAATAAATATCAAATAAATATGAAAAAATATGGAAAATTATTTTTGTCATTTTTATATTTCATATGAAAAATAATGAAGTCAGAATAAAAATAAAAATGTCACAAAATGATAAATATCAAATAAATGGGCCAGGGGGTGTAAACTGAATAGAGAGGGGGGGGGGGGGGGGGGGGGTATCAAAAGCAAGGCCAGAACCAAGCGCAGCCCACTGATTTCATCTTCTTCCTCTGAACTACAACACGCGCGTTTTGTACAGCACATGCCATCTCCTGATTCTTTGATTTTTTGACAAAACTCATAACATAAACATTGTAGAGCATCAAATAACGAATTCAAACATGTAAAAAACTTGGATTAACTCTCAAAGACCAGAGAATTTCTCTGGCCCTAATTTTTAACCTAACTTTTTTCACATGTTCATGGGTGAAATTCTCTCAGAACGATTAACGTAAATGAAAACTAAGCATATGTATGGCTTCAGGGCTATGAGTACAACATATTTCATTCACAAACCTAAGCCTAACCATTCCTAAATAGAGAGATAGAAGTCCATGAAATACCTATTTCAGTTTGAATAGAGTAGGGCAATGCAACAACCTTCAATGGTGTTTGAGCTTCTGTTGAGCTTGCCTGAGGTCCAAGCTTCTCCAATGCTTGGCTTGCTTTGAAACACACTGAATCGTGCTGTAGAACTCCACCTGAAAAGCTTGGAAATGAAAATGGCAAAGTGTGTTAGAGGTGTTACAGCTTGCAATGGAGGTCTGGGATAGTTCAGGTGGATGGAATGGAAGGTGTTTGAAGCTCTTTTAGACAAAACACACGATAGGAATTGGTTATGGCTTGAAGTTTGCAGAACTTGCCCTGTTTTGCAGCAAAACAGGGATTCTGAGTATTAGGAGGTATGAGGGATGAATGAATCGTGCTTCAGGCTTGTTTTGATGTATGGAAACTGTATGCAAAGTTTGTTTTGGCTTGTGTTAACAGAAATGTGTAGTTGGTTGTGTTTTGC